GGGGGGGGGGGGTATTTGAGATGGATGGCTTACTTTATTTAGCAAAAATGATGGTATCAATATTCTCCATAAAAATTAGAAAGCAAAGTGGAAAATTAATGCCCAGGCACATGAAAGGGGAGGTCATGCAGACAAAGATCCAAACAAGCTAAGCAAGTAAACCGGGAATCTGGAAAGCCCAGACCAAACACCAAATGACTCTGAAGTTTAGTGATTAGGGTTAGGAGGTCTTAGGAAAGTGAGTGAATCAAGTTTCAGGTCAGTTTGCCAAATATAATGATCTAAATGAACCTGATCAGGCACTCAGTTTCCTAACCCTAACCACTAAACTTCAGAGTCATTGGGCGTTTGGCATGGGCTTTTCGGATTCCAGATTTTAGGCAAACCCTGAAAAAGAAATATTAATTTTTGATTGATTAATTCAGCAAGCTGCAGACATTTGGTTCGGACATGGTCACTTCCGGCTTAACCTTCTTGTTCCCAGGGTCTTCACTTCTCCTCACGGTTGTTAACAATCAAGCGTACAAAGAATTGTGGGAGAAAGAGCGGCGGCCATCTTGATCAAGGATATCGTTTGGTGTATTTTGGTTTTTGTATTGCTTTATTGAGATGATCAAGGCGATCCTTGTATTCAATAACCATGGGAAGCCACGGATGACCAAGTTCTTCACTCATTATGTAAGTATTGTATCCTCCAAACAATGGAGTTGTCTTTTTAAGAGCACGAAGTAAAAGTAGATAACGTTGTGTGTGGTTCATAAGAACCTTCCGTTCCGTATTTTAACCTACTATGTAACCATACATAAGATACCACAACTAGTGGAAATAGCCTATTTTGTACTGTCTTTTGGGCTGCCAAAATTCAACTAGTAAATTTGCGACAACACCTGGCCTATGAGAAATTATGAAGGATGTTGCGAAAAACTGCACATGGAGGCTTACTTCCACTTGTCAACCTCACAAACGCAAAAACTCCTGAGCTTTTATAAAGTGAACGCTATTTTAATTGACGTTATTTCCTGCCCTCCAACTTTATTTTAGTGTAGTTTTTCCTGTTATTTTAAGAATGAGAAGCCGTGAGTTTAAGCAATCCCACACCTGTTTGAAAGATTGTTTTTGATTAGCTGGGAAAACAATAGGGATTGTCACATAACAATGCTCCTATCCCTGAAAACAATGGAAGTGCAGATTAAAGGGGACCAATGAATGAAGAGGTTTAGAACGGTGCACGTCTACTGGTGACTTTAATTGAGTTCAACATTGGGAGAATGCAACCTAAACTGAATTTGAGAAACCTGGGCACAAGCATTTAGCAGGAAGAATCTCGATTTTAGGTTGGTTCAACTACTGGAAAATATACATCATAGCCTCCACAGGCAAGGTGTGCGTATCTAAAAGGATCAGAATGTGTGGAAATGTTTTTCTTCTACGTGCAGTTTTGCTCATTTTCTATCAATCAATCAATAAACTGTATTTATTCATGGTAGTAATTAATGCTGAAAAGCTTATGGGGCTGATCCACAAAAAAGAAGAAATACAAAACTACTATTATTATTGTACAGTATTAACTAATTTTTTACATACTAAAGTATTACAAGTAATTAAAAATTAGTGTTTACATCACAAATACAGCGCTTAATCAGGGGTGGTACTTATTTGAGTAAACAGGGTAATACACCTGTCAAATTTTGAGACAAGTTTTGGAGAAAAATAGTGTGCATTGTACAAGAGTATAACATTCTTTAATTATACTTTTTTTCAGTCAGAAGACATGCAGCATCAAATCATTAGAGAGACATTTCATATTGTCTCAAGGAGAGATGACAATGTTTGTAATTTCTTAGAAGGGGGAACGTAAGTTAGAACTTCTATTTTTCTGTCAATCAGATGTGGTCATGAACAGAATATTTTGTTTTGCATGTAGATAATGCCAATAAGTATGAGGTCTGTTACTATCCAGGGGGTTTTAGAATTCTATGGAAACAGTTTTTTTGTTTGGAGTGCGTTTTTCTCTCTACCTACATTGTACCCTGCTGAGTAAATAGGTTTGATTGGCCAAGCAAGATAAGGGCAATGCACAGTTTTGTCTGTACACTTATATTCTGGACTTGATGGTTTACTTGGGACTTTTAAGAGTACTACATCCTGATAAAAAAGAGGTTTTAAAACAATCTGTGAAGGGGGTATTATGCCCCCCTCTTTATGACCATGCTATAAAGTGAAGTATCATTTGTAGATCATTATCCATTATCACTCTCTTGGTTGGATGAGAAACATTTCCTGAACTTGTGTGAAGGTGTTGTATTAGTAAAAATTTTTAATTTGCTTTTGCAGGTTGATTGGAGGTTCTGACTTTAAGATAATTTACCGTCACTATGCCACACTTTACTTTGTTTTCTGTGTGGATTCTTCAGAAAGTGAGCTAGGAATTCTTGATCTTATCCAGGTATGTTTATGACTATGTCCTGTTAAATGTTGTTTAATCTACTTATGAAAGGGTGGAATCAATTTTTGGATATGGACTTTAAATGGTAAATGATAATGACAAAATTGTGCTCAAAATGGTATGTGTCTTACCCAACAAATTATGCACCTTAGGTTCTACTTTAACCTAAGGATCATAGAAAGAATGATATTTTCTTTGCTTTCAAATTTTGATTATTATAGAAAAAATGTTATGTTATGGTTATAGTTATGCATTTTGCTCTTGCTCTTGATGCTGTTTTGTTTTATTAGTCTCGCTTGCTTTAGCAAAGCGAGAATCTTAAAATGCAGTTCGGTTTTTTTTTTTTTTCGGTGGGACCTAGTTTGTAGGTCCCGCGTTCCTAGCGAAGACCGTGGAAACTGGGGATACGAATCGTGACGACTTTCATTGTATGGAAATGAGTCTCGTGATGAGCATGTGG